GGGGACGCCTGGGGGGAGGAGGGAGGACCCCCACGTTCCTCACACCCAGCAGGCCGGACGCCCCCCACAGACTCCTTTTCGAGTGTTCCGAGAATACCCATTGTGTGCCCAGGCCTGTGCCGAGCTGAGCGGGCTCCGGCAAGGGCAGGGCTCTGGTTTCGGTGACGGCCCCCCCCCCCCGCCCAGTTACGAGCCTCGGCTTTCATGGGGGACTCGAGTGAACGCCCGCAAGGAGCTGGGACCTGAGCACCGACTCCGAGGCGGCAGCCCCGGCGTTCTCTGCAGGCGCGGAAGGCGCCTGGGAGGAGGGCGACGTGCGCGAGGCCAACTCCTCAGGTGTCACCCAGGCGGAGATGAACTCCTCAGGTGTCACCGAGGCGGGAAGGCACGACACGGAGCGAACAGCGCGCCGGGCCGTCCTCCCCGCCCCCCACATTCGCCCGGAGTCAACATGGCCGCCGCGCAGGGAGGCGGAGCGGCTCCGAGTCCGGGCAGGAGCGGGGCGGGGCCGACGTCGTCGGAGCCAGGGCGCAGGCGCTGAGTGCTCGGGACCCGGATGGAGGTGCTGCGGTTCGGGCCCTGTGAGGGGAGATCGGGAAGGGAGAGCTCGGAGGACACCCCCCTCCTCACACTCTGGAGTATTGGCGTTGTGGGTAGAGAGGAAAGCTGCGAGACGGAGGTCGAGAGAAATGAGGCGGGGGCGGCGAAGAAGCGCGGAGCCCCGCCCCTCCGCCATAGCGGCCTCCGGCGCCGCCTCTTCCTTTACGGCCTCCCGCCCTCGCCTGCTTCCGGCCCTGTGGCTGGTCCCGGCCCCGCCGGCTCCCTCGGGACCAGTCTGTTGGCCGTGGCTCCCTCGGGTTGAGGGTCGCTGATGCCCTGTCCTCGGTAGGGACTGTGTCTGAAGCGAACGGCCCAGCACGGCTTTCGGGGCTCGCTGGGGCCGGCAGGAGGCAGCCTGATCCCCGGGGTGACCCCTCGAGGCCTTGGGCCCGGCGTGGCTGTCAGGCTGACCCCGGCGGTCTAGAGCTCCGTCTGAGCAGGCTTTCCCCGATTCTCAGCGCCCCGTTACCCCAGGCGTTGCCAGAAGTGCGTGCTCTGTACCAATGGAGGACGTGCTGGGCCCGGCGTTTATAATCCTGGCTGGGGATGAGGTTTCAGAAGCGTCGAATATCTCTTTTAAGTAGTCTTGGGTGTATCAGTTGGCCTCCGTGAGCCTCAGTTTTCACATCCATAAAATGGCGATGGTAATTATACTGGCCTCATAGTGTCTAATGAGATCTCTGGAGCCTGTATATCTCACGGGAAAGTAATAAGTGAAGCGAGCTCGTTCCATAAGCGTCTTACAGTTGAGTCTGATTTGGCAAGGGGCTAGTTGAGGAGTGAGGTTGGCAAATAGAGAAATCGGGCTTTTTGTTTTGCTTTTTCTTGGTTTCCCTGTAAACTAAGTGTGGGCCACAAATCCGTGGACGTTGAGGCCAGAGCTTGAGTCGATAGAGGAAGAATGCGAGGCTGTTCAAGAGACTGAGGTGGGTTACAAGCTTTCTATTCCCGACCTCATTTCTGCATGCGGGAAGGGAAGTCCAGGAAAGGAAAAACAGTGAATTCACCCTAGTCAGAGAACTGTGAAGTTGGGTGTGCGTGTTTCTGAGGTTTCTCTAGATTTAGCGAGTCAGATGTTGGAGATAATGGGTAGATTTCATAAAGTCCCACTGCTAACAGTTTTTCTCAAGCTTGCCTTTAAACTGAATTGTCAAGAGCAAACCCACGTGGGAGTTGAGGGCCCCTCCCTTCCTCCTGGCTTCCTAATGAAGGAATAAGCAGCGGGCGCCCCCTTGTGCCAAGAAAATAGTACTGTCACTTAGTCGACCTTGTTCCCTTTCTGGAGTGCTCCCACACGCTATGGCTTCTGTGACTTGTCACGTTTTTTATGATGGAGGCAGGATACTTGGAGCGGTGATTGTTTATCTAGACGCGGCAAGCTTGTGTGCACTTTCCTGTCCCTACCGTTTCCAGTCGTTTAGAACACAGATGAGTCGTAAGGTGCCTGCTTATGTGCTACGTGTTACATAAAAGTCCCTGCCCTTAAAAGCAACTTAAAAAGCAATAATGATGACAGCGAAGCACAGAGTACTGAGAGCATAACACAGTCTAGTGAAAAGTCAGAGTTCCTAAGGCCTTGATAGGTTAACATGAAAGAGAAAAGAGAATTCTTCAGCCCTTATTGTTCCTAAAGTCTTTTTTTCTTTTAGGCATAGTCCACCCCAGATCAGTGAGCTGCTTCTAATGCTCTTACCTTCCTTTTTTTTTTTTTTTTTTTGGGTCCGGTCGTGGGGCCTGAACTCTGGGCCTGGGCGCTGTCCCACAGCTCTTCAGCTCAAGGCTAGCACTCTACCACTT